GGCCCATTTAAACAGTGGGTCTCGGCACTGTTCACCTACAACATGAATAATGGCGAGACCCTAAGAAAAAGAAGAAGAAAGGGAAAGGAAAAGGGAAAAGGAACAGGCTTACCTGTGGTGGCTCACAGTGCTTCTTGCAACTATGGAGGTGGCATAACGTAGCTGCTGGCAACTGTGGAGGTGCCAGTGATGGTGGTTTTCATCGTTTTTTCCCTTGTTTTTCCTTTCTTTCTCTATTTTTCTTTCTCTTCTTTGTCTCTGTTTTTCTTTCACTGATGGTGCTGCGGTGGATACGGATGGTGGCGTTATGGTTCTTCTCTTTTTTGCTCTCTATTTTGACCAAATTAATTGTTAAAAATTATAATTTGACCCTAGAACTTTAATTTCTTCCAATTAAAGCCTAAATTGAATTAAAAATAAATTTTTTTTGCAAACAAACCTCCATAAATTCAATTAAACATTTAATGAAATATAATTGAGTCCATGAACATTTGATTTTGAAATTTTTTCCTCACATTGAATTTTGTTTGTCAACAGGGCGCTCATTAGTCAATAAAATACTGTCAAATTTTAATCTTTGTATTTTTTAACCTCTTTAACCAATTTTTAACCTTTTTTTGAGCATTCTGCCCTTTTGAAGAAAAACAGTCTATATATGAAGACAAAGAGAAAGGTCATCCTACCCAAAAATCATAATGTGTTTTGACCTCCTCTTTTCACTACTATATTTTTTATTTTTTAGTATTTTTTTAAGAAAGAAAAAAATATGAATTGGGGAATAACCTAAAAATGGGTTATGACACCACCTCTTATAATGGTATATACCTATTTTTAACCCCACCATGAATTATCTTCCTATCATATTACCATGGTCTCCCCAACAAGATGTCACTTGCTTGCATTGGTACCACGTCACGCAGAACTCCATCAACATATTTAGTTACTTTCACTTTCACTTCACCATTATCATTCAGTCATTGCAATCTATATAGTTTAGTACACAAATTCAGTTTATTAACGAGGCAGGTACTACAAATATTAACACAGCTTCCACTATCTATAATTAAACCATACACCTTACTTTGCACATAAAAATGCGTATGAAAGATGTTCTCCCTTTATTGATCAGTTTCATCTTCCTTGACCTTAACTTGAAGTGTTTGCCTTATAAACAAGGACTCCTGAACCGGTAATTCTAACTCATCCCCATCATTATCCTGCTGACTTGACTAAAAAATTGATGTATTCTCCCAAGTGTAGGAGTGTCGAAGTAATAAATAAGCCGGTAAGACCGGGGTCGAACCATAGGGAGGTTAATTATAAATTATAGATAACAATAAGATGACGATGACAACAACAACAACAGTAGTAGTAGTAGTAGTAAAAAATAAGAAGAAGAAGATGAAGTTGATGAGAACTTTGAGATGGAAGATTAATATAAGGATTAGATAATGATAACAACAAATGCCAAGGTTAGAGCATCCACTAATGGTATGTCAAACAAGTATAGTATAAACTCTTATTATTCAATTGGAAACCACACACAAAGGAGGTTCCAATCTGATTATAGATT